TTAGCTTTGCAATGTATCACATACTGACATCCTTTATATACCAATAAAGAATTATTAATTGAATAATGTTAATAATAAAGCTGAGATGTATCTGTCTTTATTATTCCCAGCTTTTGTGAGAATCTGATATCTAAAATTGGTTAATTTTGCTATGTTCCGTCCTGAGTCCTTATTAATATATTTGATTATTCACTCTCTAACAGGTTACAGTTTTCTGATTTCAAGTGTATGGTGACAACTGCAGCACCATCTGTTTGTTTGTTTGAATTAATGAAATGCTCCCAAACCTTTCCTGTAGTTTATTTTGTGAATTCATGTCTGCAGAAAAATAAGCATTAACTGATATTGGTCCATATTTTTCAAATGAATCAAACAATTTTTTCCAGTTTGTCATACAAAGAAGAATGAACAAGCAATTATGAAAAATTTAAATTATCAACAGAATGTAGATTTTAGTATTTTGAAATCTGGCCTTGTGTTTGAATTTCATTTCAGTCAAAGGTGTATCAAACTAAGTTATATCAAGTCAAAGCTTTTTTCCTCGCAGCTGAATTACCTCTTAAACCTCACCATGTTGGCTTAAGGAAGACCTTTAGACCAATATATAATTTATTCGTATTAAGCACTCTAGTTAGGAAGTATCTTACTACCACGTCTTTTCCCCCATTTCGTACATTTTCTGGCGAAATGACCTAGTTGATTTAAACAACTTAACGTTTACGTGAAACCAAACCATACTTAATGTCCATGTTTTACTTTCTCATGCAGGCCTCCGTCGATGTAAAGGTTACGCCACGGCTCTTATTGAAAATTGGGGACTGATTCAGGTCAGTTGAACATTTTGGTTGATTTTAAGGCGATCAGAAAAAAGTCTCTGCGCTACTTTATCAATGGCCGATTTTTTTCACATATGATAAATGTTACTAGTATTATAAATTTCTTGTCGCAGTTTTGAATATATGGGAGATATAAAATATACATTATTCAAAGAAAGCCACATTATATTTTAAATTTAAAAAATGCTCACTTAAGTAGTAGCGTGTATCTAGCAAAAGTCCGTTATTATGACATATAAATGTAGGTATGAATTACATCTTTCCGAATGGGGTAGGAATCCAGGTGAAATTAACGGTAATTAATTCAGAGCCGAGAAGTAGTTCTTTATCAGGTCAACAGTGTCTTTTAATCGGGTGGTATCGGGGAGAGAAATCTGAACAGTCGACCAGCGAGGATTAAAGATTTGACGTACAATTAGCCTGGCCTATTTTACATTTGCTTACTTTTAGAAATGTAACTTCAAAATATCTTATTCATTTTATTATCTTTTATACCGTATAGACGTAGGAAACATACAATTTCTTAAGAGTCGTTTCCCAGCTTTTAACTGAAAAAATAACCTTGCAATAAACGTAAACACAATGAAAATATTCAAATGTAACTTGTCAATTATTTTTTTCCAAATGTTTTGATTAAAAAATGTAAGATGAACCTGGATGTTTTTGCAAAAACGTTTAAAGAATATACTTTCTAGACTTTGTCCTGTTAACATATGACGCAGCTCGTATAACTATTGCGAATGATTGTTACAGAATTGTTCCAATAATTTAGATCTTTACAATATTTCCCAGACAAGCCTTAACTTGTTTGGATCCCGGATTTTCCACGTTATCATTCATCCTTTCCTGTACCTTCTTTGTACAGGCTAAAGACGTATCGTACAGGTAGCCAGGAGTAGATATTGAAAAGAACTAACATTAGCACTCCTCCTGAAGTCTTGTAGGGTTTCGTGCTATTTTTTTAGAAACCGTGATGTGACTTACAGATACACAAACAAAATGCCGCTCAAGCAATTGAACTAATTTTGAAAACTGTAAGATTCTAAATAGCATCCAATACTTATCGTCAGGCATTGTGTACCTTCAAAACTCTGTTGAGTACTTCTATCTGTGAAAAATTGACCAGGAATAATAATTACCGATTGGAAGGGGGAAAATGTAGTTTTGATCTCGTATGGCCCTCGTCAGTTAGGTCATGTTAATGTGGCACAGATCGTTAGCTTGTTTGTAAAAAAAGAACGTTACAGACAATCGCGTCTTTCTACGTTCTGTTGTACTTCTAACTCTTATGGTTCAGTGATCAGTGTAGTGTACATGTAGTTGTCTGTAACTATGGATGTCCTCCAATCAAGGTCGAGGACTGTTTACTGCTAAAATGGTCTAGGTGAGATTCCCTGTCATAACTGAGTCAAATAAATGTTTTTTTGCCTTTATTGTAGTTGTAGAAACGTATTATCAATCTTGGAAGGCCTAACTAACCTGTACCTTCATTGGTGGTTGCACATATTATACAAGGATTAAATGCTGTTAACACATTGAGAAAACATTACCTACATCAGTGGGATAGTGTAATGAGAACACGCGTCGCAAATGCAAGGATGTCCTCGGGTAGGTCCTGTTGATATATTAGATTGTTCATACCACTTTTAAAGGCTTCTAAACAGATGCAATAATTAAGATTTTTGTAATTTAAACGTGCTGCTGTTTCAAAAACAAATATGGTCACACAAAGCTCAAATCTAAGTAAACTTTAAAACACCGATTTAAAGGTATTTAACATAATTAAAAAATGATGCTGTAAGGCATCGTTACAACAAAGAAAGCAGTTGACAAAAACGTAGTATATTCTTATGGGACTATTGAGAATTGCCAGAAAATTGACAACCTCTTTGTAACGCAAATCTGAAAAGGATTAGTAGGCTTTAAGGATAGCTCCACCTGCCCAAATCTTTCAGATTTAGAGATATAGAAAAAATGAAATGAGAAAAGCTACTAAATTATAGACTAACAAAGCATCGGGTAACGACCTGATACGTTATGTGTAAACAGGATCGCGGCCATTTTGTTTGTTTTGTAAACGGGTCAGTCGACTGTGAAGAAAGCAATCCACACATCCCTGCGAAGTACAGAGTAGTCTGCCTGGGCGTCATGCACGGATGGTCAACAACAAAAGAACCATTGCTGCCAGGCAGTGAAATCTAAAATTAGAGAAGCAGACAGAAAAGTCGGATTAGCACCTACTGTTATGGGGCAATAAACACAAAATACCATTTGTAAACTTTTCCTTTAATAATTTACGCTGAATTCAACCCAAAAAGTTATAACCTTCGTCACACAAAGTAACGTCTTTGATCTCACGCCTGATTTAAGCGTCTAGCTCCGGGCGCGTTTTTGTAGCAAGATAATTGGATGGAAAGGTCTCGAGGGTCAGCGTGTGGTATGTGGCTCGCTGATGTTATCGGGAATTGGTAGATTTAGATGTACAGAGAGTTGAATCAATGTTACCACGCTGAAAGACTATAAAGATTTTCACAGATCAAATTGTTTTCCAGCGCATATCTATTGCAAAATGTTCACAACACTTTGCGTAATATTTCCGCACTGCACTACTTATAATTATTAAGTAAAACACCTCATCTTTGAAGCTGCATGATGATACATGGCATTGATTTTTAGAAAAGTTACAGAAAACCTGTAAGTTATTTGTACTTATACAAATGTAAAAATGCTGTCACCACTGGTAACGACTAGTTATAAGCCAAACCATGGACCTCATTATTGCTTTCTTCACTTTCCCACTACACTATCGCCCCCCCCCAAAAAAAAAACTAAAATAAAAACAACAACACTAGGTTTGATCGATGACTTAGAAATGGTAGCTACCACCCGAGAAGATATGAAAACTTTAAAAGCAGCCTAGAACGTAGTAATTTAATTACACCAATAGTTAGCTGGCTGGTGAAGCCGTCTGATCAAGTTAGATCGCTCCTGTCACTATATTTATATAACATCGTTATATAAATATAACATGTTATTTTATGTAACATCGTTTCCGTTCAAGTTAGACGGTTGTGAAATTAGATAAAGCCACATATAAGACAATAAATTGCCATTTTTATGACTTTTTATAAGTTTTGTGTGTTTCCGAGGGAAGAAGAAAGGGGTGTTCGCTGCCCTCTGTAGCCACCCTTGGCGAACAAATTGTTTTAACAGGCGACACTATAATTCCGGACAGACACTCTAATTCCGGACTACCCCTCACTTTTCAAGTCTAGTTTGTCCTGGACAATTGACATTCCACATGGTGATGTAGAAGATGACAACAACTATGTAGATAACAGTGAATGTTTCCCTAGGGATCATGTTATTTCTGCAGAAATCTGCTAGAATTCTGCGCAGAATTCTGCACTCCGCGCAGATTTCTGCACAGAAATCTGCGCTTGGTGCAGAATTCTGCGCAGAAATCTGTCTTTTTTTAAGATTTTGTACAATACTGCCCTAGAAAATGTATCATTATGGTGATAGGTTGGTAGATATACCTCTCCTACAAATGCTACTATCAGGTTA